CTCTCTTGCTCTCTCTCTGTCTGTCTCTTTCTCTCTCTCTCTCTCTCTCTCTCTGTCTCTCGCTCTCTTCCTCTCTCTCTCTCTCACACACACACACACACGCACACACACACACACACTCTTTTCTCCCCTGTACTACAGCCCAGGGCCAGCCTGGAGCAGACACACATTTTTGTTCTTGCACACATTTTCCGTCGGCCCATCATAGTTTATGGAGTGAAGTATTACAAGAGTTTTCGTGGTGAAGCACTAGGGTACACTCGATTTCAAGGTGAGTGCTTTGATTAAATTTCATTGCACTACAACTCAAAGTTTACGCAGTAAAGTGAAATGTTGTTCAGTTTATAGAAGTACAGTGTTTTTTTTACCCCTTTAATCCGAAATGGGGCGTGAAATAATCTCAAACCTTAAAATGTTGTCCTTTACCCAGCATGCCTTGTCTTATTTGTTTCATGTTTCATTGAGTCCTTATTTAAACTCCAAGGTACTGCACATTTTAGCCTTGTGTCTCAATATTCATTTAACAAGATGCAACTGGTAAGAAAAACTTGAATCCCTTGAAAGAATAAAGAAAAACTTGATGCCATAAATTATTCTTTTTAAAAACAAAAACTAAAAAAATATAAGAATGGATGCCCTGAACTAAGCATGCCCTGATCATTAATACATTGTTATTTTTGACTTTTATTAATTTTCCCCATAAGATCTTCCCTGAGGGGGTGGGAAGGATCAACTTATTGCATATTACACAGTTTGCAGATTCCCCTGTCCAAACACGCCTACTAAGCCTGGTAATTAGCTGGTTTAGATGTGTTTGAGCAGGGAAATCTGCAAACACTGTTGGATTCTGGACCCCCCAGGACCAGAATGGGGGAAGCCTGCGTCAGAGATATGACACTGATCTAAAAACAATATTTACGATGCACAACATTTTATATAACAAATACTGAACAGACCCTGTATTGATGTAAAAATCATGCAAAATGGACTAAAATCTGCTGCCTTTTTCAAAAATTTAATTAAATGATATTTTTTACAAAAACACGGTACATCATGCTCATTATGTTGATTTATTTATCTATTTTTGAGCATGTGTTGGTCATTGCAGAAAAGTATGCTGAATGCAGAGTGCAGACCTGGACGGCATGTTTTAAAAACAGTCTGGTTGTAATTTGCAGCCAGTGCAAATGTTGCCTCACGCTCTGCTAATGGAGGATGTATTCCGTCCGGCATGTTATAAGTGCAGTTGTAAAGCCAGTGCAGTACTTGTTAGTAAAAGGTTGCTGTGCATTATGGGCACTTATTCATGTTCCGGGAGCAGAGAGTCATTTGGCTAGAAGGGAAAAGAGACCGTTTGCCGCATTAACGCTTGGGATTCTCTCCATTCCCATTTCTTTTCCAAGGCGTTTACTTGCCTTTGCTGTGGGAGCAGAGCTTCTGCTGGAAGAACCCCATCGCTCTGGGTTACACGCGGGGCCACTTCACAGCCCTGGTGGCCATGGAGAACGACGGCTATGACAGCCGAGGGGCGGGCGCCAACCCCAACGTGGACGATGACGTCACGGTGATCTTCTTGCCGCTGGTGGACAGCGACAGGAAGTTGCTACATATCCACTTCCTGTCAGCCCCGGAGGTGAGGCCTAAACGACGTTCATGGGAACCACCGTAGGCTACGTTTTTGCTCCGTACCTGGGAGGGAGCAAAAACATGGACTGTCAAGGGGGCCCCGAGGACCGGATTGGAAAACGAAGATTTAAACCTACGCTCTGGGTTTTTCTCTTAGAATATTCCCTTTGTTCGATACTCTTACTTAAGCCTACGGTCTGTGTTGGGTGTCTGCTTATAATCTTTTAGTCAGTCTTCCATCTTTCCATTTTAGAACATCCAGTACAGTACAGCCTGGAGGCTGTGTCCGGCAGCTTAGGGCAAAAGACAGGGGAACATTGAGTGCCTCTCCTTTGCTGGGCACACGCATGAACACATTCATTCTCATGAACACAGTACATACATAACAGGGGGTGGGATTTAAAGTCTATTCAGTCATATTTTATGAAAAATTAAATCCTCTTGATTAGGGCTGCTGTGATTAGTTGATGTAGTCGCGTAAATTGACACATTTTAAAAAATATATATTTTAATGAAAATACCTTGCGTCAGTTCATTGCGACAAATGTCCTGAAGAGAAAACACAGAAGCACTATTCTGGATGATGGGCTGCCAGAAACCATAAAACCACCATAAATGTTGTTTATTCGTGTTTATTATTAAATTACCTTATTAATAAAGCCATAAAGATGTCTGCCTGCTATCTCCATTGAATAAGCGTTTGGGAAAATGTTTAGGCTAAAATCTGGGCATTTTCTACATTCATTGATGGTGCTGATTGATGGACTTTAGACTGCAAGAAGTATCACCATCCATCAGCACCTTTATACACAGTATCTCCTCTTTTAATAGATGTTGTGGCTGCTGATCTCTCCCTTTCTTCACCGCGACTTCAGTACTTATTGGTTCCATTATTTACCATAACTGTTGCAGGTGGCCTGCTCTACTAACCGAACATAAAAAGCATAAGGATACACCGAATTTATACAGGTTACTAACCTTTGGGCATCACAATAAGCATCTCATTAATATTTTAGGCGTATTAATAATATGCTCATTGAACTGTGGGCGTAAGGAAGGTCTGTATAACGCCGAAAAGCCGGCATCTGTTATCTAAAGCCCTGCCAGGACATCGAGTTTGTTGCTGTAAGAATAAAATTAACTTAAATCAGCCAATTCGATTTTCTGGAGGAAAATTAATTGTTTAGATTAATCGACCAACCGGTAAAATCGTTGATAGATTAATTGATAGAAAAATAGTCATTAGAGGCAGCCCTACTCCTGATGCAGATTTCTTTGGTAGTCAAGTATGATTTTGCTGAGATTATATTGAAAGTAAATACGGACAAAGGGGCGGCTGCAGATTAGTTTTGTGTTAAGTAAACATTGCAGAAGCAGTGACATACTTATGACAGTGAGCTGTCACATCTAGTTGCTAATGGAAGTTTGCATCACCAGCAAAAATTTCAGTGCCCCACCATCGTGTTTCTTACAGCAACACTGCAGTATTACAATTTATACTTTGCGGCCGAAAACTGAATATGTAGGTATATCTGAATATCTATGCTTTTCTGTTTTGGTTTATTGGGTAATCGCACACATTAAAGACATCCACTTTACCTATTCAACACTACAATTAATAAGTGATAACTCAGCGATAGATGCATTATCAGCTTCTCTGCCAGGAAGTGAACCAGCGCTCTTGAAGTTGTATGAATGTCTTGGACTTTCAATGCTGCCCGATGACAGTGACGGTGTTTCAGTCCAGCGCAGAGCGCTGACCTTTGACCTCCGTTTCTAGATGGGGAGTGAGGAGCGACAGGAGAGGCTGCTACGGGAGTGGCTGGACTGCTGTGTTACGGAGGGCGGCCTGCTGGTGGCGCTGCAGAAGAGCTCTCGTAGGAGGACCCATCCACTCGTGGCACAGATGCTGGACAGGTGGATGGACGGCTATCGGCAGATCCGACCGCACGCCGCTCTGTCAGACGGTGAAGAGGACGATGAGGATGACGACACATGAGGTGCTGGGGATGATCCTGGGTACTGGGGGAGTATAATGCAATGGTCTGGGTAAATCTGTAATGATTCCCAAACCTCCAGTTTTCCCCTTTTCCTTGGTCAAGGGAAAATTGCTGTATGCCACCTACTTACATACTAAACCCATGACGAAAATGGCCAAAAAACCCTAAAAACCGATGAGTTATATGCTTTGCTTGAAGAAAACAGCCTAGATGATTTGAATCAAGTTCAGGGATTCTAATGTCATTTAAACGAGTGTTTGAGTGGTGGGCTGTCCTGAATGTCAATCCTTTTTTTTTTCTTTTCTTTAATATAATTCATGTGATTAAAAGTATTTTGTCAAAGAAGGAAATATGAGTGTACAACAGAATTTATATTGATTTATTATAGACCTCAAAAAGCACAATTTAAGCTTTTCAGTTGGCTTCCCCTTTTGTATGTTGTTTGGGGGACTAAATAGCATTTTCAGATACGAGTTCTCCATCTGAGGGAACTGTATGGTATCGATATTTTTATTCCTAGTAATGCACATTTATAATAGATTTAAACATGGGTTATACATTTGCCTGAATACAACAGACTATTATAAAATGAAGAAAATGAATATTCCATTTTGTCATAAAGGTTGCCATTTAGTTGAGCCATTTAAAACACCCCCGATACATATTTAGCTGACTATTTAACCCATTGATGGTTAGATCCTTGTGTAAAAGACAGCCACCTGCTCAAACACATCTAAATCTAATTACCAGAAGAATCTCCTTCATTATTTTCATGACTGAATTGAAGACCAATTTTTTCAGTCTTGGTGGCTGTTTTGTTGCACTGAGAACAATCTTCATTTCAATAACGTTTCAGCATGAATTCTGTACCTCAGTCTGATGCTTCAACTTGGTGCTTATTTTTGTGGAGAGGGGAATATTTAGCAGTTATTTATTAGTAGCCAATTATAATCCTTGATTTTTTGTCAAGACTTCTTTTTCTCTATTTGGTCTTTAAATTTCCATCTTGTGTAATTTTTTTACTATTAACTTCTAATAATTTTGAACCGATCTTGATTCTTACAACCAAGTTCCAACAACGTAACACCAAAGCAAAAACATGGGTTAATTTGATGGATGGATGAAAATACTTTGTACTTGTTTGCGTTGTATTTATGCAAAAAACTTTTGTTTTTTATTTCATGTTTGAACGGAAAGTACAAGGTGCAGCTGCATTCAATATTAAAAATTTAGTTCAATGATGATATCCAGTATTTACCCTTTCTTAACTGTGACTGTCTGCATGTTTATTTAAAAATTTAAGGTATGATCATTGGTGGATTCTAGAATTAATGACTTTATTTAATGGGCCATTATGTGCTGTATATATTGACTTAATAAATCCCATTAACTTCATTAATCCATAGTCTAACCTTTTAAAATGCCATTGCATTTGGCAGAGAAACTCATTTTTGTTTGCTTGTGTTTAAATTTTTACATTGTTTAATTACTCTTCATGTGGAAGTCACTGCGTCAATATCCCAATGTAAATAATTAACTGTACCTCAAAAGGTTATGTTGACTCTTGCATTAGAATAGGGGGATCAAGCTCACTTCAGTTAATAGGCAACATTGGACTCAATTCAGTCTCAACTGGGGGATTTTTATGTGCAGTTGGCTTAAAGGGCGTGGGGTAGAGCTGATGGGTCTCCCCACATAAGCTAGCCTCACAAATGATTAGAGACTGATGGTCCTGATCGAAATGATTACCGTTATAATGATACTGGTATAACACTCAGTGAAATCCGGTAATAAACTGAGGCAAACAGAATGTTCTGCGCAGTTAATCACCATACTGTATTTCACCGTGTGGTGCTGAATAAAGAAAACGTATAAAAATAGGCAAAATCTAGAATCCTCTCTGCGATTGCATATCTCGTTATGTTGGCAAAAGCCTGACTCATATTGGAGCACATTTCTCCACAAACCCACTATCAGAGTAGCTAACCTTGACAACTATGTTACTGGTCTTCCAACTACTATTAAAAACAAACTACATTTATTTTGTCTGAGGTACCCTTGCAAGCTGTTGGTTTTTTTCAGTATGGTAAGTGCTGTTGTGGCCTACTAATATAGCGTTATTTTTTTTCAGGACTTAGAAATCAGCGTGTCCTTAAATCATCATCAGGCTGGATTATTCATTTTGTATTTTTTAAGTTCACGTGGGGTGTATGAAATGAAGCAGCAACACAAATAGAATTCAATATCAACCGAAACAAACACTGCATTGATTGCATAGTCAGAAATAAGCTACCACTGGGTATATAAGGAGATTGATTCCTGCTTTGAGAATATCTGAGTAGTCAGAGCAACCTATAGGCTTAATTCCAGTTCCCGAGTAGCCCAGCTATAGAGGTATGATAGCTAAATCACACTAAATCATTTGTTCATGCTTACATTATTATGATGTCGCATGTGTAGCGAACCATTTAAACTACTAATGTTAAGTCAAATTCCAGGACATTTGCATTGGATAAAGGACCTGTTAATACTGCCTTTACAACACCAGTGGCTTTCAATTGGTCTGTTTACCCTTCTTTGCCCCACATGTAGTCATCTGGAGCTGACAGTGATTATATCAATTCCGTAGACCTGTATCTCTATGTAGACAAATATTGCAAAAGGAATTTGGCAGGATTGGTTACAGTGCAAGAGGGAAACAAGCAAAAATAAATGCAATTATTTATATTAATATAATATTCCTATTCATAGTCCCCATTTCACAGCATTTTCAGTAAAGATTCCAAATCAAAAAGATCAAACTTTCCATAACTAGGCAGACTGACTATTTTGAGACATAAAATTGAGCAGACATAGAAGCTAAAGCTAAATGCACTCTGCAATTAATTTGTATTTGTAAATGTGTTGCACTATTCAATTACTAAAACACAGAAAAGCCAGACACGGCTAAAGTAGCGTTCTCTCACTTAGCATATAGACTGTATAACAGCGCCCCCTTCTGGAAGTTATGTAAGTGAATGGCCAAGGGTAACAGGATTAGTCTAGCCACAAAATTAAATTTGCATTTTGACAGCAGTGATATTGGATACTGAAGCACTTTTAAACACTGCTTTCCGGAGTATGTATGATACTCTCAAAGGAGGTTAATTACCATGACATGTAAATGTTGCGTAATTTACAGATGAAACAAATTGATAATAAAATAGTAGTACATTTTTAAAGTGTCATCACTCTGCCTTTTAAAATTAAGGCATTGTTAAGTGTTTTTGGGGAAAATTGGATATAAATTTGCTAAGCCAAGCATTAATATTATGTATCTATTATATGTGTGTGTATGAGTGAATAAAGACATTTCACGTGATACAGTTTCAGAGCTGTATTTTTTATTTGAACTGCACCGAATGCTAAATGTCCACCTTATACAAGAAACAAATACAAATACTCACACTAAAATCCAAACATGCCACTGGCAGCCTTGTTTTTGCTATTGTTGGGACACTAGAAAGATCTGCTTTTGCTCAGAGCACACAGCACCTCCGAGATGTTCGACTGGCTTTCACTGAAACGTAAAAGAGGGACGCCCGCAACAGAAAACTATGGTTATAAGAACATTTAACTATGCAATACAAATCTAACAGGACTCTGAAAAACAATTAACACCAAAAAACATGGGATGCTTGTTATATAAAAAAATACCACAATGAAGACAAGGAAGGGGAAAGGAAGTAATATTCAGATTTTTTTTTTTTTTTCCTTTTCATTTTTCTCAGACAAAAATTTTGGGGAAAAAAAATAATCAGTTTTCCTGAGTCAGTTTAAAAAGAAAAAAAAAAAGAACTTTAACTCTTTCCCATCCACAGTGTGGCATAATCAAAAATCAAGGAGAAAGAAAAATGTGAAAACAAAAGATGACTTGGGAATCACACTGAACTTTGAAAAATGGGAGATCACCAAATACAGATGCTTAAACTGAAAGTTGATTAAAATCTATAAAGCCAAGCTTCTTGGAAATGTTTATATTTTGGTCTTCTGTACACAACATCCCACACCTAGAATTACATGATTCTCTGATTCCAATAAGAAAAGAATGATCAACATATACCTAAGTCAAGATTTTTCTAAATTATACTGAATAACAAATTTTAAATCAGGTGCCCCTGTGTGGCTAAGAGGCATAACCACTGGTTTTCCAAAAATGTTTTTGATAATGCCACACTTGCTCAGACCACAGATAATACAAGCTATCAATCATGAAGTCCCTATCAAGTTATAGTAACCTCATGTAATTAATTAAGAGAGTAACAGCTAACCCATTGCCAATGTTAGTGACACTGAAAAAATTCAAATCAACATTATGTAAATAAATTCTCTTTTTTGTAAGAAAACACATGGCTTGTTCCAAGATGCTTGGTAATAGAGAATAATAAGAATGTCTATTGAAGTGTTTAAGACTGAAAGAATAAGATCACTGGTTTACTGCACATCAGAATCGTGGCTGTTTTGTGGCTGGTATTTTGAAGATTGATGGCTGACTCTCAATGGCAACGGAGTGTGGCCAGGAAAGGGTTAAAGTTCACATTGCCGATTGCTGTTGCTGGGAGCAATCTATTTCCTTTTTTGTCTGATAAATATATATAATATAATTTTCTATAATATTCTTTTTTTTTCCCCCCCACACTGAATAACAAACGTTAACTTCGGGGCCGGGGGGGGGGGGGGGGG